ATTTGCTGCCCCTCACTGAGGGCTGGATGTGGCCGTGATGCTTGGTTGAGAGGATTAGTGGGACATATGTGCTCCGTGTAATTAGCACAGCACTGTTGTGGAATCTCTTTATTATACGCTCTATAGATTGACCCAAGGGCATCACTGCTGCTTGGAAATGATATGGAAACAGAGTTTTGTCTGCAGAACAGGGAGACACACTCCTCTTGTTTCTTTGCACACAGGTGATGTTTACAAATTTGAATGTATGGAAGTTATTACCAAGTATTCTGATAGCACAGCTTTGACTGAAACTCTATGTATTTGCACAAAATTGGTTTCTTTTATTACGACTGGTATGTAGCCCGTTACACTCAACCTGCTATTTGCTTTTGCTTGACTTGTTTAAGTCAAAATATCTCTTGGCTCATATAGCAAGACGAGTCATTAACTGTACGAGTGTGACAGGCTTATTGTTGAGCTTGCATTGCAGTGGCTGTTCGCGCCACTCAGAAGTCAGCCAGTGTTGAGGACTGTCAGTTTAAGTTCCTCGGTTCAGAAAACACACACAGTCTGAGTGGCAGCGAATTGAGATGTGACTTTTTTTTTTCCTGCTTCTAAAGGTTCCATCAACACTCTCGCTTTTCCTTAAGCCCCGGCAGGGCCACTGCTATAAACCAACTAGGCTATCCAATTTCCCTTCATGAAATAAGAGCTTTTTAATGTATTTTTTTAGAGAAGCAGAGAGAAGTTAGCACACAATGATGAATTAGATTTCAATTTATTTGACTTCATTCCCAGCTTGCTGCATTAGAGCCTGCAAACACCCATCTCCAGCAGTCCATCCGCTTGATTCTTATTAGGTTTCAGAAAACAAGGCGAGGGAATTGCATTAGTGTATTTTAAGTTAAAAGCTCTTTGCTCTTTGACCAAGTGTTTCATTGTTATTGGGTTAATCAGATTTTTGCTGTCTTCATGGAGATGCTATCGCAGGCTAGAGGCAGTGGTGGGTAACCAAAGCAGGCGTGCACAGACACTGTCCAGATGGGATCAGCTTACGGTAATTTGGCTTCAGCATACATTACCAGAAGAGGCTCCACGCCG